AATTAAAGTTCACCAATATATCCATAATATATGATTATGGATCATAATTTATCTGATTTAATCATAATTTGAACTCCTGAAGAGTTGTCACATACCGTAGAATATTTAAGAAAAATAATTTGGAATAAGAAGCATTTCAGAAGAGGAATTATTTTATCTAAATTGAACATATCTTCTTCTACGCATAGACATTGGAATGGAGTAAAAAATGTCTTTCATTATCTCCAAGGTACGATTATTTTATTATTTTAGAAACCCCAAATTTGGTTTAGTTAGTTTTGTAGTTACCAAAACTGAATATCTCATTTCAAAAGATTCTAGCAGGATCTAACATAAAAAACTAACACTTTAGCATTTCTAAAGAGTAAATGAATCCAAGGTTCATTTAAAAAGGAAAGAACAATGGACTCTAAAATTATCCAAAAGAGAAAGAACATTAAAGAATAAAATGAATGAAACCCATAAATCAATAAAAAGAGGGTGTGTATGGTTCAGATCTATAACTTATCATATAAAACAATCATGTAGAATAGACATAAACTAAGAACCAACAAATGTGTATGATAATAATGCTGTATGTGTTGTCCAACTCAAAAAAAGTATCAAGAGAAATTGAACAAATCATATTCTTCCAAGATTTTTTTCCCTACATTTAAGAGCTCAAGAAGAAACAAGAAATTGATATTTAATATGTTTTCCCAAATAGTAATGCAGCCAATTTTCTTACAAAGGAGATTCATACTATATAATTCAGAAAACATGTTCATAGCATTGGAATGCATCGTCTGCAAAATCTATGAATGATAAATTATATTCATATCTTCTAGAGGGAGTTGCTGATAACACCGGTTTTTAGCCATTTTTATGGATCATTTTGATATCTTTTGCATGTGTTTTTACTCCGTTTTTTTCAAAGGTTTTCAAATGATTTCTTTGTTTTTGAATTTTAAAAGACTTTTCAGGTAACTTGGGAGAAATATGTGTAAATTGGAACAAAAGAGCACTTTTGGATTTTAAATGACTAAGGATCGTCATTGTGTTTTTCAGCTCACAGATAAACTTTGTGTGATTCAAGACTGCATCACAATGAAGCTGATTGGGGCGGGTGAGCTAGAATTTGGACTTTATTTCTTCCAGTGTGGAAGTTGTTGCAGCTATACATGGATCAGATTCATCGTCCGTTCAAGTCTGGCATAGACGCTTTGGACATCCATCCTCGAAAGCTTTAAAGTTGTTACTGTTTTCTGAATTTAATTGCAGTGATTTTGATTCCAAGGCATGTGAAATTTTTATCCGCGCCAAACAGATAAGAGATTCTTTTTCCTTAAGCAGTAACAAGACAAGTTTTCCGTTTGAAATGGTGAATTGTGATCTTTGGGGTCCGTATAGAACTCCTGCGATATGTGGCTCTTGATATTTTCTTACACTAGTTGATGACTATTCAAGGATTGTGTGGATTTACCTTTTGAAAATGAAATAAGATGCTTCTCTACATCTTTGAAATTTTATCAGCCTTGTAGAACGACAATTCACGTGCAAAGTCAAAACAATAAGAAGTGATAATGGTTCAGAGTTCATCTGTTTGTCTGATTTTTTTTTCTCAGCAAGGTATTATCCATGAAACATCCTGTGTGGGCACACCTCAGCAGAATGGTAGAGTAGAGCGTAAACATCGTCACATTCTCAATGTAGCTCACGGATTTCGTTTTCAAGCGAGACTTCTTATCGAGTTTTAGGGTTATTGTGTACTTACTGCTGGTTATTTAATTAATCGCACACCCACAGCTCTTGTCAATGGGAAGACACCATTTGAATTGATATGTAATCGTCCACTTCCGATGAACCATATTCGAGTTTTTGGATGCATTTGTTATGTTCACAATCACAAGCATGGAGGTGATAAATTCGAGAGTCGCAGCAATAATTCTATTTTTATTGGATATTCTTTTGCCAAGAAAGGATGGCGAGTTTACAATATTGACACAAGGAGTGTCTCTGTCTTTCGTGATGTAATATTCACAGAAACAGACATTCACTTCGACGACGTAGCAACTGTGTCTTCTTCTTCTTTGCTGTGTTTTGATCTTCCACTTAATAACGTCACCAATGATGATGATGTATTTTAATGATGTGGTTATACATGTGGATGTTGTTCATCCCGAAAGCTCTTCTTCTCGGCCAATACCACCACCACCACCTCAGAACGAAGCTGCTCATGTGAATTCTGATATTTGACGATGGTACACCATCTCATGACAAAGGGGTTTTTGCTGGTATCAGATGATTTAGTTGTTGATGACAACTCACATAACCTGCAGATTGTTCCAGCTATCTTTCATGACTCTTTGGTCACCACGACACCACAAGTAATCGAGGAACTCAAATTACTTGGTCGTGGGCATCTCAAGAAACAACGACCTGTTAAGCTTGCGGATTTTGTCTCGCAGTTACTTACTGAGCCGGTTAATTATCTCTCTTCGTCTCAGTTCTACACCGTTTATCAGACATATTTCATGGTTATAACTTCCGCCATAGAACCTCGAAGCTACAAAGAGGCATTTCTTGATGAAAAGTGGCATTTGCCTGTTCAAAATAAAGTCGTCTCGCTAGAAGATCTTGGTATGTGGACAGTGAAGGAATTTGCCTCCCGGGAAAACTGCGCTTTTCTGTAAGTGGGTTTTCAAAATTAAATTGAAATCTGATGGTTCAGTGGAACGATGATAGAAGGCATGTTTGGTCGCTCTTGGGAATAATCAAATTAAGGGAGTTGATTACGATGAGACTTTTGCGTTGCTTGCTAAGATGGTAACAATTCATACTTTTCTTCAATAAGCTGTCTCTCTTGATTGGGAAGTGCATCAGATGGATGTCCATAATGCATTTTTACATGGAGATCTTGATGAAGAGGTATACATGCGTTTTCTTCCTAGGTTCCGGACGAATAACAAAATGAAAGTTTGCCGATTAAGGGAATCCCTGTATGGTTTCAAAAGCTCATCGATGTTAGTATGCAAAGCTTGAATCAGCTTTGGAAGCTGACGGTTTTCACCATGACATGTCTGAGTACTCTCTGTTTACATTTGAGAAGAAATCTGTTCGCATTCATGTGCTTGTTTACGTTGATGACTTAATCATCACTGATAGCTCGGTTGGCATAATCAACGAGTTTAACTCGTGTTTTCATATGAAAGTCCTCAGCATTTTGCAATACTTCTTAGGGATCAAAATCGCACGAAGCCCAGTTGGTATGTATTTGTGTCAATGCAAATATGCACCCGAGATCCTCACCGAAACTGGTTTACTTGGTGTTAAGCCGGCTACTTATCCGTTTGAAGAGAATCACAAGCTTGTTTTGGCAGATGGCGCGGTTATGTCGAATCCTGCTCCTTACTGTCATTTGGTTGGGAAACTTATATATCTGACTAATACATGTCCTGAGTTATCCTATGCTATTCATATTATTTCTTAGTTTATGATTGCTCCTAAGCCTGCTCATTGGGAAGTTGCGCTTCGTATGGTTCGATATCTCAAACAAAGTCCCGGACAAGGTATTCTTCTAAAGACTGGTACAACACTTGTTTTGTTTGCTTAGTGTGATTCAAATTGGGCTTCATGTCCCCTTCCTCATCGGTCTTTAACGGGTTGGTTTATCCAGCTTGGCAGTTCACCGATATAGTGGAAAACAAAGAAGCATAATGTTGTCTCTCGTTCTTCTACTGAGGCCGAGTATAGAGCGATGGCAGACATAGTTCTAGAGCTTCTTTGGTTATGACAGCTACTTCGAGTTCTTGGTATCTCGTGCGACTATTCCATCATCTTTCATTCAGAGAGTTAATCGGCTCTCAAACTAACGACTAATACGATCTACCATGTTGAGTTGGATTATCATTTCATCCGGGATGAGATCGTTCGTGGTACCATTGCTACTAAACATGTTTCCACTAAGTCTCAACTCGCTGATATAATGTTAAACGCTAGGCCGGAAGGAGTTTAACAAATTTCTTGGCAAATTGGGTGTTTGTAACCTCCACAGTCCACCTTGAGGAGGGGTATTGGCCATATTCAGGCCTTGTTTTTTTGTTCTATATTGTTAATATGCCATGTATCAGGTTAATTGAATTGTGTATATAAGGCATAGTTTATCTATCAATATGAATATAAAAAACTTTTTTACTACTTCTAAAGGCTTTTTATCACTTATCGATCATAGTATATAGCAGTGGTGGAGGCAGCTAAGAAGGAGGTGGGTCAGGTGACTCAGGTGAAATCATAAAAAAAAAGAAAAAAATTATCCATGAAGCTTATAATTGTCCCACATCGACAAAGCAATATAATTTAGAAGGAAAGTTAGCACTATAAATAAGAGTTCATCTGAAAATATTAATTTAGAAGTTGTAGATTAGCACATTAGTGTTTTTTTTTTTTTAATAGAAGCTGCATATCGATCAGAAAACTAGAAGTTTCAAGTAATTCAAACTTCCCTTTTACTTTTGGAAACCACAGCCATTTGCTCTTCATCCACAACCGTCGAAAGGTGTTTTTCCTGCAAGGTGATGAGTTTTTAAGCGATTATCTAGATTGTCTAGTTTGTTTTATTAAAAAACAAATACTTGAAACTGTGATAAAACGATTTCAAAATATAAGTGATCGTAGAGTACATTTTTAGATGTTTTTCAATGTAATTTTTTTTTTTTTTCTAATGAAACTTATACAATGTTTTCTATTGTGATTCATGTCAATATTTTTCCTACTACCGCCACTAGTTTATAGAAACAAGTTATAAATCAGGGGTCATACCCTTGTTACAACAAAAAAAAAAAAAAAATAAGGGGTCATATTGTGATTGGTTTTTCTAAGCTAATACAATATGTTGCCGGGAAAAGAAAAAAAAAACAGCTTAACTTTCACAATTTTTGTGTGACGTTTCTTAATCCAGCAGTGTTCACAATACACGTGGCGCATCTAGAAGTCAAATCCCAACCGCACAGACAAAGAAACCCGAATTTCAATCCTATCTCCATCACCAACTCATTCTCCTGCTTCGATTCGAGCAAATTCCGAACGAAAGTCTCAATCTTTCTTTCTGGGTTCCTAATTTATCAACGGAACTAGCAAAGCAATGATCCACTAAATTATCTGCTCCCGTGGATTCAGAGTAAAAGAAACAATGAGTGTGACATGCTTGAGCAAGAGTGCTAATTCCGCAGCAGCAGTAACTGTATGTTCTATACGGAAACTCCCATTTCTGTCTGTGTCTGAATCGTTTCTTTGCCTGAAGAGTTCGAGAAAATCCACGTTTCCTCCCTGTAAGTTGCTCTTCCTTTGAATCGAAAGTCAAACTCTATTTAGATTCAGAAGACTACTTACGCTGCTTCTATTCACTGAATTTTGCAATTATGAGCCTAGTCAAATGATTTCTTAATTTTTAAGATTAGAACTGGAGGGTTTTAGTGTTCGCATATGCGATGTTTCTTCGAAAAGCTAATGATTCACAGAAGGAAAACGTTTCTGTTTTCTTCAGCTGATAATAATACAGGATATGCTTGAACTGATTATTGTGTTGGTGTTTTGATTTAAGGAATTTTCTGATGTACTAACTAGCTTTGTAGTAAGATGTAGGCGGAGATCAGAGTTGGATTTGCTCTGCGGAAAATTTAGAGTTTCTGCATCAAATGCTGTTGTTGGGTCCGGGAGCTATGGTGGTGAGGAGGATGGATCTCAAAGTAGTTCCCTTGATCAATCTCATGCTAATCCATCAGAAAGGTCACTAGTTAATATATTCTTTGTTTTCGAATAGTTCTCTAACTTTTTAACTCTTGTTTGCTGAATGGGCAAGTTAAGGACATAAGTGACTAGGAAGTTGAAGTTGAAGTTCTTGTAAAGTTGGTAATGTATTTTCACTGTATCCTGCAGCCTAAAGCCTCAAGGGCCATTCCCTTACTCTTTATCAATAGCTCTTGTACTACTGAGCTGCGGTCTAGTATTTTCTCTAATCACATTTGTGAAGGGAGGACCTTCCACAGTTCTAGCAGCAGTAGCAAAGTCAGGCTTCACAGCAGCCTTCTCACTGATATTCGTTTCCGAGATTGGAGACAAGGTATTATATGTATTTATATTTGTCTGCTGCTTTGAAGCATGTCGCCTTAGATGTTACCCAATTTATTGAGGCTCATTTTGTTATAATAGTTGCTTATACATTTGGTACCTTCACTTAACTGAATCGGTGATCTCACATGTGTCTTTTTTGGCTGGCTAGACTTTTTTCATTGCTGCTTTGTTGGCCATGCAATACGAAAAAACACTGGTACATTTCATCTAATCTCTCTCCGGTAATGGCCCGTTTGTTCTAGTTTAACGGTTTGGAACATCTTTTCGGTGAATACTGATGTTGTTGACCCTGGATTTCTTGACAAGGTCCTTTTAGGTTCAATGGGAGCTTTATCTTTGATGACTATCTTATCGGTTGTTATTGGGAAGATATTTCAATCCGTGCCTGCTCAGTTTCAGACGAGTAAGCTACCCGAGGCTACTTTGCTTATACGAAACGAACCATTTTTAATGGAAAATATTATGATCGTCTAATGAATACTTCTCTCTCTCCCCTTGATCAGCACTACCAATAGGAGAATATGCTGCAATTGCGCTTCTCATGTTCTTTGGATTGAAATCCATTAAGGACGCATGGGATCTTCCACAGGCTGAAGCCAAGAATGGTGAGGAAAGTGGTAAAGAACTTGGTGAATACACTGAAGCTGAGGAACTCGTAAAAGAAAAGGCGTCCAAAAAGCTTACAAACCCACTTGAAATCCTCTGGAAATCATTCAGCCTCGTGTTTTTTGCGGTAAGGAATAAGAACCTGTTTTTGTATTTGTCAAGGACCTTATTATGATAGTTGTTGGTTCTTTGGTCTAATCAGGAATGGGGAGATCGGTCAATGCTCGCAACTGTTGCGCTCGGTGCTGCACAGGTTTGCTCAGCACCATTCCACAACACCACAAGCTTTAGCTCACTAAACCTTAAAACATCTTTCTTTTCACACTCTGTGTCACAGTCTCCATGGGGAGTTGCAAGCGGAGCTATTGCTGGACATTTAGTGGCAACATTGCTTGCAATCATGGGCGGCGCGTTCCTCGCCAACTATATTTCAGAGAAACTTGTACGAGAAAATGCTTACACAAGTCCCTTGACTTGATTCATACAAACTGATGAAAAATTTGGTGGCCATTTTTGATGCAGGTCGGATATGTGGGTGGAGCTCTCTTCTTAGTTTTTGCTGCTGCCACATTCTTCGGAGTGTTCTGAGTAAACCCGTGGCCTATAGGAGAAGAAAGTAGCGGCTGAGCGACATTGTTTGTTCCTAAAGTATTCTTATTGCTTAGTTTTTAGACCAAAGCATGTGAGCAATAAACACAGACCCTTCTTACTGTACTGTTGGTCTTCAATTCCTATGAATAGGCATGTTTGTTGTATCAATTCGTATAAAATTCAGGGCTTTTTTTGAACTGTTTCAACTAATAGTTGTTGGAGTCATCACAAGAAGGAAACATTCTCATTACACAAATGTAATCACATACAATCATCCACAAGTTTTGAACATAATTCTCAGTATTTAAGATGGACAATGATCCTCAACAGCATCTCTGCTCCATCAACAAAGTGTTGCCCGGCAGGAATCAACGGCCTAACCTCTGCGAATCCGCAAGCGTTCTTAAACCTTCCGGTTCCTCCAGTGACTGACAGATGCGACATGGCACTTCCGATCCTATAAATTCCATAGAAATTGAGATTATCATTGTACTCTCCACCTTCAAGCATAGCTGTGAAAGCCATCATCTGTGTGCTGCCATCTGCTGAACTTGCAACATAAACCCCCTGAGCCTTACCAAGTGGCTGAGAACCCAAGTCAGGACCGGATGTGATTATGTCATCAATCACCGTGATCGTCCCGAAGCCAAGACTCAGACCATCAGGACCCAACTGTGTTTGAATCCCATTTAGATTCTGACCAGAAAACGCTGTACCGGACAAACCGGTACCTAGAGGAATACCGTTGATACCATTAACCGTTGGTATTGCGCCGTTGGCGTTTGGTATGGCTACACCGTTTTGAGGCGGAACGAAACCGATCTGCTTAGCAAACGGTACTTGGCCGTTGTAGATGTTTCCGAGCAAACCGGTTATGGGTCTTGCCGTGGGACTGCTTCCGCCAAGTATATCGTGCATGTACAGTTCAAAAATTGGGTCTTCGGGCGCAGGATCGAGTGCGGTTGTTACAGTAAAAAGAGCAAGTACGAGACAGATTGATGTTGAAAGTGAGAATGATGAATGTTTAATCATTTTGTAGGATGTTTTTCTTTTTGGCTCTTTGTTTTGTTTTGCAGGAAAGATTTGAGGGATTTGAGATCTGATGAATTAGTGTATAAATAAGGCGGACAGTGATTGTGAAGTTGTTAAATTTAAGGATTGTGAAGTAGTTGAAATGGATAAGTTAGCTTTGTTCTCGTATCTCTTTGAGTCCATCAAATGGTTATATTATAATCAATATATTGATGTAATGTTTGGGAAGTGAATCCGATTTGTGTGGTTTAGGTTAAGATTTAGGTTTAGGTCTTGTTGATTAGCTTAGTGGCCAAGAAAGCAATCTGGCAAGAAAAGAAATATTTGCATGTGTGTCAGACTGAGTGTTGATTTGTTATACAGAAAGGAAATAAACAGTTTTTAATATTATTATAAACTCTTCTATGATTATATAACGGATAGTTCAAATAGAAAAAGAGGAAAAAAAAATAGCTCTCTTCTCTCATTCCCATTTTTGAGAGAGAGAGTTTTTCTCTCACGTTTGGTGTAAATCTTCCAGTTTCATTTGGATTTAATAATTTCGTTTAACGGATTTCTCTTCTGTTTTACAGAAAATAACATCTGAATTTGTTCGGATCTTTCTGACTTAGTCCGGACTTGTCTCTCTTTTGCAGATCTACTACGCTTCTAGCATGAAGCGGCAAGATACGGATCCAGCGATGATGGTGAAAAGCTTCTTCTCCAAAGTTGGTATTGTCCTCTTATGGCTGAGAGTTATAACTCCCTAAATACCCTTATTGAAGAGCCTTCTTTAAGACAGAGGGTGAGGTCATGAAGTTCAGATAATCGGAGCTTAATTTGACGGAGGTGAAGAGATTTTAACCAATCTGAATCCTGTTTAATTGATGCAGAATAAGAGTAAAAGTGGTACATCAGTGGGCGAGAAAAAACACCATGACAAGCCCAGATTTGGCGATGAAGGTGGTCGTCGGAGGTGACAAACGGAGGCAAATCATAGACAGCAGTGGAATCCATCGATAGAATTTCCAAGATTCCTTCTCATAAGCCACATGGTCCTGGTTTTCTTTTCAATCGAACATGTGTTGTTAGACGTGTATGTTTAGATGTGTTCGTATTTTTATTGGGTCTTTTAGGCTATGTATCACTTTAGTAGCCCTTTTGGGCTTTCGTAATACAACAAATTGACAAAAAAATATATATATAATGGATAGTTCTACCGCTTTAGTCTTCACCCGATAATGGAATTTCCACAAGAAATAAATATTTAAAAACAACAAATAGGAAAAATGGTGCACAGAATATTTTCTATATTTGTCAATGAAACAATTTTATTTCTTTCACCAACTTTTATCTATTTATTTCTTTGTTAATTTTAAAATTTTGTATGTTATTTTTAATTTTATAATAATTATTCATTTTTACGATTTTAAATCATCTTAATAAAATTAGATAAAATCATAAAATAGTACATACTTTCCCATTTTTTATGTACTATTTGTTAAAAGAGAAATTAGGTGTTATAGCAATCTACAGAGATGAAATTAAATAGAGTAAAACTATATATTTTATTCATTGTAAAAGATACTCAATCCTTCCATTCTAATTAAAACCATACCATCCTTTAGAATCACACCACCCAACTTTTTCCACATTCTAACAAGCTCTGATTTTTCATAACACCCCCACTTTTTGATTGAAACACTTTTAGTTGAATCTATTATTTCACTTTTTAAAAAAATTTGAATTGATTTTCATTTTTTGAAAACTTTTCCAGAAAATCATAGATTCTGGTTCAATACTATTTGTAAACCCTTTCAATAATGGTGAAAAACGTCAAATCCTCCATCCCGCCATGGCTTCTGCCTAAAACCATGGCTCCGCACTCTGAAACACTGTCGTTGGAACATGCCTCTTTGCTGGCGACCTCCCAGTTAGCTCCACAGTTAACATTGTCGACATATTTATTAGAACGTATTATGGCAGATTTGATAGGTGTTATAATGGTTTTTGATGAATTGAAGAGTTTAGAGGATAATCCATATGCGATGAGACATGGACCTTGGAGCAATTTAGAAATTGAAATAAGGAACATGAAGTAAGTAGTTAGATTATTAGACATATGACCAAAGGAATATCAGTGATTGATGATATGGATATTATCATTTCAAACAGCTTCATTGATATTACAGTGGAAATGACCGGATGGACGGCTATGGAGTTTTGGATAAAGTGGCAAGATATTGGAATATATGAAACGGTTTTGACTCTTAACATGTTTTGGGTTTTCTATGATTCTCAAGGTTAGTTATCTTTATTTTGCTGGATTAACTTTAATTACGTACCTAAATTTATAATGATCCTCAATTGGAAGCAAATTAACATATGTACTATTTATACTTGTTATAGGCAGCTTCTTCATCAGAATGTTGGTGACCAATCTCAAATACTTTTTAATCCACATATTAAAGAAGTTTCCGATTTTCTAGATTGGTATAACTAATTTCAGTAAACCTATATTTATTTTACAATTCATTTTGCGTGAAAAAATCTTATTTTTTCGTACAATCATACAAGTTACTTTTTACTGATATCCATAGAGATCCAAGATGGCCGTAAAATTCTCCATCAACTCTTATTTCATTTTATCTCATGAACTCAACTATCTCTGTTACAATTCCCCTATATTTAGGGATAATCTTGAACCCTTTAATATTTATGCTGGATTTTAAGTTTTTTTTATTGAAGATATGGTCATTATCTTTATTTATGAACATTATTAATCTACTTTGACAACTTTGTAAAATAATTATTGCCGTACTTTGCCTATTTTCCACGTTCATGTTGTAATTATAATGAGTACCATATGGTTTGTGTTATATACTGTGTGAGCCAAAACTCGCACAACCAAAATTTGTTAATAGAACTCTTAGGGATCAGAAATTTCTAGGGTTTTTCTCGAGAGAACTCAAGATCGAAAGAAGATTTTTTTGTTGGGAAAATGTTTAAGTTTTATTGCTCTCAAGTTGTGATAACTTACATAATGAACATCATACATCGACTATTTATATGAATTCTATACACCGCCTAACCAAAAATCTCGGGAAAGATTTTCAGAATATTTTCTTATCGCCTCATGCGGCCGACGCCATAACGCTTCGCGTAAGGTTTTTATGGGCGTCACTTCTTCGCGGCAAGGTCCACTTGTTGTTGGAATCTGCTCGTTGAAATGTCACGCCGCGGCCCAATTCATCAAGATGCGGCTCAGCCCAATCCAGCTGAGGTGCGGCTTGGCCCATGCTTCGTGGTATGGCTCGGCCCATATATCTTTTTGCACAGCTCGGCCCGATTGTTTCTCTCCCTTATGGATTTGGCCCATTCGAGTGTCTTTTGCTGCGGCTCAATTTTCCTAGGTACTTAGTCATTTTTGAGATGGTTTAGATGCTTGGAGTGAAACCGACCCCAACAGTTAGTCTCTTCAGCTCGTCAGTTTCCGAGACGAGAGTGATGAGGTTCGTCATTCTGGTCATCAACCATCGCACCGAGACATAAGGGAGAGACGAGGCTCTTCGAAGGTTCTTTATCTCGTATGCTGCTTTCGCTGAGGCATGTCGCGAAGAGTAATAATGGGGTGTCTGTTCGACAATGCCGAGCCGTTAAGAAACAATTATGGTGAGGTATTTTTATAAGGGCGGCGCCGAGCTGATTGAAGGACGAGGCGAGGAATTTTTGCAAAGAGGATGCAGAGTCATTTAAACGATGAGGCGAGGCGTTTTCGCAAAGATAATGCCAAGTCGATTAAACGATAAGCGAGGAGTTTTTGCAAAGATGATGCCGAGCCATTTAAACGACGAGGCCTTTTTGTAAAAATGATGCCGAGCCAATTTGAACGACGAGGCGTTTTTCTTAGAAATATACCGAACCATTTAAACGACAAGGCCTTTTCGTAAAAACCATGTCGAGCCGATTAAACGACGAGGCTTTTATCGTAGAACTAATGCCGAGCCATTTAAACAACGAGGCGTTTTCGCAAAGATGGTACCAAGCCGATAAACGACGAGGCGTATGTTTAAGGATGTTGCCGAGCTGATTAATCGACAAGGCGTTTGTGTAAGGATATTTCCGAGCCGATTAATCGACGAGGCATTTGTGTAAAGATCATGATAATCGTGTGAGACACATAAATTCGAGGCGCTTACTAGGTGATGTTTAGCGCCGAAATATTATCCGAGATGCGTGCATTGGATGCAGCCTACTACTGATTCGTCTCTCGAGGAGGCCGTTGCGGATTCCACGCGCTGTATTTATAACGTTTCTGATTTCCAAGGTTCATGTGGACTCCACACGCTTCGAAACTTCTATATAAGGAGTCTTTGTCTTCCATTTTCCTCATAACTTCAGTTTCTCAAACTCTCACAAAGGTATCTCTCCCTTCTCTCTTCTTTCTCTCTCTAAGTTATTTTATTTTTTGGTTGGGGTTTTTGTTATTTTCGCCGAGTCTCCGCTGCGCCGCCAATATCGTGCGGTGACCTGATACGTACCGTCGACCTTTCCTTCGACGAATTATCGGATCTGCGCCCTAAGTTGCAAGCCGAGCTGTATTTCCTGTAACTCCCGTGTATGTATGTTAACAAATGTCGAGCCGATCTGGCAATTCGTTAGATACTTTATTCGACTACGAGCCGTGTTATCCAAATGACGAGGCGACACATTCGACAAGCTCTTCCCGTGCGAATTCTACTGGCGATGAGGCGTCTGTCGCACCGAGCCCCTCTGGTCATGGACTTCGCCAAAGTGAAAGCCGAAGAGGAAGCTCCCATTCGATCCAGTCGAGGCGAAATTGGAATTAAAACGTTTAATGGCGATCTGAGGTGCATCATCCTCCGGGAAGAGAAGGGTTTACCGAGTTAAGAGGCAGAAACCGATCCATCCGGTTCTACTTTATCGTGTCAGGAATCTCTTGAGGCATTGCGATACCGTTTTGGGATTTCTGAGGCGGTTGAGTTCGTTCTCCCATGGAACACTGACCGAGCTGATCGTCCCCTCCGAATCATTTCACCATGTACAA